TTTATTATTTTAAGTTAGTATAAGGAAGATGCTGCAGCCCATTTCCTGTTTCAGTTTTCCTATATCGTCTCTTACGACATCCCGTTTCGTTGGTGGGATAGAGGATATTGTTACTCAGCCTCTACATAGTAAGTTATGTTTCTTAAAATAACGAAAACAATGTATATATTTCATTATAAAAAATAACGTTTCTTAGTGGATATATCGATAGTCTAGAAGACAAATGTATTAATTACAGAGATTGTAATTTTTCAGGGGAGCAGTTAATATATATTATAAAGTTTGACCCGTTAGTTTATAAAGCTGAGCAGTGTAACGTATCTTATACTACTGTTATTAGTTAGGGTATTTATCTGTTAGACAATTAATTTTAAAGAAATATTCTCAACTATAAAAAGTACTGGGTAATACTCAGTAGTCAGTAACATGAAAAATTACATTCACTTAATACTTTGACCATTATTTTGTTATTCAGTTGTTCACTTAGTGCAATTGTGTATAGCACATGATTTTCAATTATTATGTAATTATTAGAAAATAAAATAAAATTTGTTAAATTAATATATTATTTATTTTTATAAACAAACTCGGTGGTTTAGTACACGGTGGTATTATCGAATTTACCTCGAGATTTAATTTTTGGATTAATTCTTATATTAGCAGGCCTGCCTCACTCCGCGCTTTAGGCATGAAAATATACCTACGCTACGTGGTACCCTACAAGCGACTAATACCGTTGTCCGCGTTTAGCCACTTTTGATATTTATTTTTGAGTTTTTATTCCAGTATGGCCTCTCAAAAAGCCACAAGGTACTGCATAACATACGGGTGCTTAAATAACAATAGGAATGTCGACTCCCATTCTTTGCTGTTCCTAAGGATACTGTAAGGTAAGATATTATTATTTATAGGTAGATCTAGATAATTAGGTACCTAGTTACTGACGTCATAGTTACAGATTTATTATTTGATTAGTGACCCGACCACAGCTTCGCAGTTTTCGATTTTGTCGCGTATAATGCCAATGACCTTAAAAAAATTTCAGTGTAAGTAGACCTTTCACTACTAGTGACTGCCTACTAATCCAAGATCAGCATATACTGGTTGTCATTTAACACTTGGTCGATAAAAGAAAGATATTGAAAATAATAGCACTTTTCATCGCCACTCTTTCATATATTTAATAAATAGCAAAAAATGTGAAACGAACAAGTGACAGTTCCGTGGCGCAGTGGCCTAGTAATGAGTTGCAGTGTTAAGGGCCGCAGGTTCAATTCCCGGACGGAACAAATATTTGTATGACCTACAAATAATTGTACTGGATCTGTTCTATGTATGTCAACTGTTCCTGCGATACAGGAGAAAATCCTAGTGTGGTGGTAACGTATTTTAAAATATGAGGAAGAGGGATAACTAATGAAATTAAATATTTTGTACAACAGACTTCAATATTAATACGCATTTTTAATGATAACTCCAAAACTACTGGTCAGATCTTGATCAAATTTATATGGGATGTATAAGTTATAAACACCAGCTTTCAAATAAAAATAGAATCATCAAAATCGATTCATCTAGAAAAAAGTTATGAGGTAACACATAAAAAAAAACAGTCGAATTGAGTACCTCCTTCTTTTATTGAAGTCGATCAAAATTGGTAAGTAGTTAAATTATCAGATTTTCAAAGACGGCCACGTTGTTATAATCTTAATTTTCCTCGATGTTGCATATTAACCTTCCTCACATTGAACAATAATGTTTTTATTATCAGCAAATAGATGATCCGCAGTGGCTTAGCAATAAGTTACAACGCTCACACCGCGGGTTCAAGTGGAACAAGTATTTATATGGCCTACAAATAATTGTCCCGGGTCTAGATCTTTCTTCTTATGCAATTTATGTATGTTAACTGCCTCCACGATACAGCAAAAAATCCTAGTGTGGGAATAACATTTTTTTAACAAAATAAAAAGTAAAAGAAATACTAAAACATTACATAACACTTTGGTGTATTCTATTATATACAAACTAATATAAAAGTGTTCAATTTGTTTACTCACAACACCTAACCCTACAGTAGAAGCGGTCTTAACAACTAAGTGATACAGACACTCGCACGAGAACGGAAGGTGCATTTTGATTTAATACGCGCGCCGCATTAATTTTTGTTTCAACGTAGGCTAATATCACGAAAGTCGCTTCCGAGGCGTGCAAAGTATTATGAACATTAGCGACGTTGTAACTAGGTTTAAACTCGCAAGTTTGCTATCAGAGAGTGATCCTTCTGTTCTTATACTATTATTTATTCTGTGATATAAGTAAGAATTACTCCGAAAAAATAAATCTCCACGTAAATTCGATAATACCACCGTCATTTTGATGAATAAATTTTTTTCAAAATATTTTACATGTACGCTAGGGATTAACTCTACTATATCGAAATTAATGTCAATATTTATCTTGAATGTTTATAATTAATTAATAGACATGCAACACCAACAAATTATATTTTAGGGAAAAATTTCTATTATTCGACACTGGCGATTCTTAGCAGCCTCTGCCTAGCCGTTATCATGGTCGCCACCGTAGCCAGGAATAGCGATGGCAGCCGGAGACTGGGGCCGTTTCTTTTATAACTCTCGTCATGAGGGGTATATTGCCATAGTTGCCACGCTTGATGAGCGGGTTGGCAACCGCAGTTTTTTTTATTTTGCTGTTATCGTAAAGATGCTGCTGCCCATCTCCTGCCTCAATTTCCCTCTGTTGCCTCTAACGACACCCAACGAAAGATATGCGGTAGTGGGTATTCTTACTCACCACTACACGGGTATCTGTATATATGGGGTAGTGGGTATTCTTATCCGCCACTACCACTGGGTATGTAATGAGGTAAAGTTTTTCTTACACAATGTCATTTAATTGAGAAGTTAGATTTAATTAAAAGTTTATTCGTTTCTCGAATATTATATTAATACACAAAACAATGCCTGAATTTATATTAGGTATTTAATTTTTTACATATTTTAAACTTTTTTTAATTCTTCTACTTTTAGGAATAACCGTAGTTTGGTTTATCTATTTTTTATCTAATTTATAAAAAAGCTTATATTTCAGAAAGAAAAATTAATCTCTACACTTTTCTAACAACATGGCACTGGCACAGTACAATATACAACTTCAAATAACGCGAGGCGTCTTGGCAAACGAGTTTGTATTGTTCTGCTTTACAAAGTATGATTGACATAATATGTACTTGTCGCAAACGAATAAGAAGCGATTTACAACGGACGGATGATGATTTTATTAACGCTTTGGTTTATTATATCCATTGTAACATTTTGTGATTTTTTGTAAAAACACTGTTTTAATAAATACGAAATGATATGTAAATGTATTATAAAGTATAATGTATTTTATAAAAAATAAAAAATAATGTCTTTTTGTAAAGCCGTAGGCGCTGAGGGAGATAAGCCCCCGCCAGCTGTAGCAAATCACAGGCACTTGTGTGAGCCGTAGTGGCTGAGGCTGATGGCCACAAAAGTATGTTGAAGAAAAAGACTTCTTCTCTCTTATGTCGCCCTATAATTCGCATGTAGAGACAAGTAAAGAGTAACGCAGTGATGTCAAAATGTTGAAATGCCCTTATACTGCTCCGTCATGTACAACAACTTTATTACAACAACTTCGTTAAAATCATGTACGGGATAAATGTATTACCTCTCCCCTATAATCCTCTTAATATCAGTGTGAATTTTTATTTTAACGACTTCTAGAGATATTTATTGAGACCCATTTTGAGACATGTGAGCTGCAGAGTCGGCAAGGGACGTCCTAGATAATTGGCGACATATTAAAAATGGGCTAAAATAAGATTACTTAAGGGTAGCAAGACCGACGAACATGAATGCATAGGTATAATATGGATGTAAAGTGTGTAGGGGTGTGTCAAGGTCGTACCAACGGCAGTCCGTAGTCTCCGGCTACCCCTCTGGGTGACAGAGTACAGAGTTTATTTATGTTATGTATGAACTTTCTAACATATAAAGTTTCTATGGAATAATAAAGTACTAAATTTTACATTTATTGTTGTTAATCGCTACTCAACGCAATTATTTGCATGTGAAACCATTTGACGATGTTGAAAACTAATTGCTTCAAATATAATTAGGCCGTTTATGTCGTCATTGCGGGTGGTAATTAAAAAGAGTGACATCGTCATTATTATTACAGCCCTTCACAAGTCCACTGCTGAACATAGGCCTCCCCCAAGGAATACCACAAAGCACGGTCCTGAGCCACCTGCATCCATCGACTTCCTGCATATCTTACCAGGTCGTCACTCCATCTAGTGGGGAGGACGCCCTACACTTCGTCCGCCGGTACGAGGCCACCACTCGAGAATCTTTTTTCCCCATCGGTTGTCGGTTCTTCAAGCTATATGGCCGGCCTATTGCCACTTCAGCTTACTAATCCGTTGGGCAATGTCGGTCTCTCTGGTTCTACTGCGGATATCCTCATTTCTAAGTTTATCACTCAGAGAAATTCCGAAAGAGTGACATTTATGTTACACTGATGTTTGATTGTTAGATAGAAATAAATTATTGATAAATAAGTAAAGACGAAAGTTATATAGTTAAGGTTAACGAATCTGTTTATTTTGAAATTGGATTTTTATTTTACAACTAAGATTACATTTCCATACTTAGAATTTGTTGATATAACAAAAAAATAAGATTTTTGACATTAGCCAATTTTCGTAATAAAAACGTTTCTATTTATGGTGTTTCGCTCAAAGATGAAAATAACTCAATCTAGTGTTCTTACTCTAAGATCACTAGATCTTAGAGTGTTCTTACTCTAAGATCACTAGATCTTAGAGTAAGAACACTGGATTGAGGTACTAAAGCTACTAAGCTTTAATTTTTGTTTGATAGCAGTGGTCAACGTGTCAAGTTAAAGTCAATGTCAGTGTCAGTGTCAGTGTCAGATGTCAGGATGTCAGTGCTGATGTTGAGATAAGGACTTGAAATTGTATTGTAAAAACTAAAAACATTTAATTCCGTAATTTCCGTATTTACAAAAATAATATTTTCCACTGAATCATTGTTTATTTTAAAAATAAGATATAAATCTATCGGATACAATATTTTAATTTAAAAAAAGTAAGGACAATTTTAGATAACCATGAAAAAAGAAGGTAAAGTTTCATATATTGGGTTACATTATTATTAGGTTTTATGACTAAAAACTTTGCTATTTTCCTGGGAGATGACTATAATTTTTATTTCATTTTCAGAAGTTCAAGAAATTTTCCTGAAAATTTTAAGAGAAGAAGAAGATGTTTCTGCTGGAGTAGCAGCTATTAGAACACTTCTTACAGTAATAGAAAATTATAAAGGTAAATGAGGAAATTTATTTTACCACGTCGCTTTTCACTTTCTTGTTTGTCTGTCTGTCTGTTGTTCCAGGTGGAATCGTGCAACTTAAATTTCAAGCACTTCCTGATGAGCTAGACTTGAAATTTTGATCATAGCTCAGAATCAGATGACAATGTAGGAATATTTTAAAAAATGTGATAGTATATTAAATTTTTAGTACAAAATTGAAATCATAACCTCACATTTTTACACAGGAATATTGACTTAAAGTCATGCTGCAAAGGCTTCGGCGCTGCGAGAAGCTTCTTCGCCCTTGCATAGAAAATCACTGGCACCCATCCTGGCTCACCTCCACAGTTTCAGCTAGATGGTCGCCTACGGCGACCAGCCTCAGCCACTACGGCTCACAGAAGTGCCTGTGATTTGCTACAGCTGGCGGGGGCTTATCTCTCTCAGCGCCTACGGCTTTACAAAAATACTAGGGATAGGGCAAACAATACTACGTGGAGTTGGGATGTTTTGATGCGGTTTTAGTACAGATTCAACCTATATTATCTATGAAGTCAGGTGGCCCTAAACTCTGCAATGATAGTGGTAAATGTAACATTTTAATGTGAATTGTTATAATTTTGTTTTCTGAAAAACCTTTTGCTGCTCACCACTGCGACTCCACTTGTTGTTTATAAGTCCCATCTTCAGCCACAACAATGGATTGTCTGGGTCCGAGTAATTAACTTTTTTATGGATGACCCGTTTCGTTATATGCAATTTTTAGTTAGTCATATTTATTTTTAATGTAATTAATTCAAAACACATTTTGGAAATCCATAACAGTATAATAGTTGTAAAATTGAGACTTAAGCCTATTATTTCTAAATTTTCTTATATAATTATATTGTGTTGTAAAAATAGTAAAGAAAATTTATCATAAGTTTTATGGAATCAAAGTATATACAAAATATGGATCATAATAACATGTCTGTATTAAAAATTTTAAGAAAATTTTTATCACCCTTTCAGTGGCAACTGTAAGGGAACTTGATCTGAATCTACAGCTTGCCGTGGATGCTATGCGACACTGTGATCAGCCTGTGACAGCTATATCCTCAGGGTGTGAACTCTTTATGAGGTTCATCACATTTACCAAACTTGATGTTAAGGTAAGTTTTTTCTTTTGTTAAAAAAATGTTGCTCCACATTTAGATTTTTTCTGTATATTAATGATGCTTTACATACATACATAAATAGTAAATCAATGATTATTTAGACCAAAAACCATAATTTGTGGGACATTTAATTTATGTTCACTGCTGGTAATAAACCTCCAGCTCTCGTAGCTGTATAAAAGGTATATCCAAACTGCAACAAATTTGAATAATATATTTTTAACAAAGTTATGTGACACTGTGCCTACACAATCAAACTAGACCGCCAGGAGAGAAAACTACAGCTTGGACTTTTCCTCCTCCAAAATTAGACCGATTTCAATTCTCTTTTAAGAATAAAAAAGATTAGTACTATGTTCTATGTTGTTCTAAAAAAAATACAAAACAGGGACATGTTAGTGGTAAATATAGATTGTATCATTAGAAATATTTGCTCTAGTGTGCTTTTCTGAGAATAAAGGAAAAAATGTTTGTATACAATAAACACCGCCCGGATATCCTCTTAAGCATTGTGCTACATAGTTATTGTTTATCTTAATTTTTTGAATGCAATGTTTTTTTATATATAGCCCTTCACAAGTCGAGTGCTGAACATAGGCCGTGAACCACCTGCATCCATCAAATTCTTCTGGGTATATGATAAGAACATATCAATAAGATGAGAATATAATATTAAATTGCCACTAATGGAAGTGTCAACATAAGAGACACTTGCTCTTCTAGTATCTTTAAAACTACTTGTGTCTAGGTAGTGAAACTTAAACAGTGAGATCATATAAAGGTCTAAACTTAGTATCTGAACTCACATTTACACTGGAAAAAGACATATTTTTGAAGAAAAAAACCTTATTAAAAGCCAGTGCTTAACAATAATCCCATTTGTGGTACAAGGTGTGGTGGTTAACCCCCAGATGACAATCCCTTCTTTTTATATAGTGTAACAAATGTTGAACATTCAAATATCTGTGTGCTTTGGTATATTTTAGTTATTTTTATAAAAATATCTAATTTAGCCTTGCAATATATTTATGAAAATTTTATGTTGGTATATAAAAACATAAATGGCTTATACTTGAAACACTTTACTAATCTAACATTAGACACACCATGCAATAAAATGGGAAAACAGGAGGCCGCCTGTTGCACTCCGTCGCACTTACGGGCCTTACTGCAAGCCATAGCAATAAACGGGGGAACAGGACGCTGCCTGTTGTGCTCTCTGACGCACTTACTGGCCTTACGGCAAGCAATAAAATGGAGAAACAGGTGCACTGCTGCACCGCGGGCAGCAAATTCTTAACATTAATATAGGAACGAACGCAAGCTTATAATGCTATTTACTAGACTCCACAGAATTGTTAATTAATTTATGGGGAAAGATCAGCAGCATGCAAAATAGCGCAATGTTTGTGTATAAAAAATTGTATAAAATAGGTTTTTATAATATTAATGAAAATATAAACGAAAATAACCCCTTAGAATGGGATGATCACTACCATGCCGGTTCTATTAAATAATTGTAAATTAAGTCATAAAAATATTCAATTATTATTATTTAGTAGTTTTCAGACCCAGCGACATAGTTAAAACAATAATCTCCATGGATTTCTTGCTGGTCCTTCCCAGGACAGTGGTATTTTCAGAACCCGTGGTAAATCTATACAAATAAATAAAATTGTAGTGTTTGTTTGTAATGTCAAAATAACTGCTTTTTAAGTATATAAAGTATATACAGTAGTTACAACAAAAACGCAATTTTTAAAAAATTTGTCTGTCTGTCTGTTTGTTATGGCTAGTCTCCGAAATGGCTGGACCGATTTTTAAGGGGTTTTCATTGGCAGATAGCTGATGTTATATGGAGTAACACAGGGCTTTGTACTTTTATTTTAGAAAAAGAATTAGAGTTCCGCGAAAAAAAAAATACGAACCCTAAATTACACGTGGGCGATGTCGCGGGGAATAGCTAGTTAATTATAAAAATGCTTTGAAAGTTCGTAATATTTCTATTCTATATTGAATTAAAGAATCTATTTTTACTTCTTTAATTTAATTTAATTCAAATTAATAATTTTTGTCTTATTCTATTGGGATGGCCCAGCTGTCTAAATGAAAAGGTTCTTCAGAACAACGAGTATTGCACAGAAAACTTTATTTGAAATCAACTGCAATAATCACATTAATTATTTTGTTTTAGTCATTTGAAGAATGTGAACAAATCATGTTACAAAGAGGACACATATTTTTCGAAACATTACTCGAAGCTAGAGGGAAAGTTGCTAAACAAGCATTACCTTTTATTAGCGATGGTTGTGTAAGTACAGCAATACAAAATATTTTTATATTCAAATTATATGCTTAATATAAAAGGTTACAAAAAAAATTAATAAAAACTTTTTGACATTTCCAGAAAATTCTGACACATTCCAAATCAAGGGTAGTTCTTCAAGCGATGCTGGAAGCAGCAAAAGCTAATAAAAGATTTCATGTTTATGTCACAATGTCTGGTCCGGACAATAGCGGGTAAGTTTTTTTAAATTTATTTGGATTTAATAGAATTTAGTATTATTCATGGTAACATGTATATTTCAGCTCGATTGTTAGATTAGATAGTAAAATGGCCAGTTAGCTCTTAACACCATTATTCAATTGATTGCCTAAAGTAAGCTTATCCTTAATGAAAGTGTGGTTAAACGAAATTATGACGTCTTTGCGTTATAGCATGGTGAGGGTGAGAACTCACGCCTATTAAGTTTCGTATTTTTTTAGATAAACTCTCATACAGATATTGTTGTACTTTATGGATGAGTACCGCCCACTTACGACAGTGATGTACCACGCTAAACTATGCCATGCCATAACGAACAACCGCAGACTATCAAAAATCGGTTTTGAAATAAATTGAATATATAAAAATCATGTAAATATGTCTTGGAATTGGAACTAATCGTTCAACAAATTCTGATTTACGGAAACAAAACTCACATAGACGATGATGCAGTGTTTCCGATGCATGGACGATAAATTATAATCAGGCAAAAAAATTATAAAGCAAATTAAGCATTGTGTCAAAAAGACTTTATCATAACTCATGGCGGACAAAATGGCTACAAAAAACCTATTTTTTATTTTTATTTCATTAGATTCATAAATCAAATTCAAATGACGAAAGGTAAAAATAATCGAGATTATTATTACCTTTCATCCCGATATTTGGCCCATTGGACCTGACAAAACTAATACACATATGTATAGCAAAAGGCGCTAGGACTCGTACCTTGAAAAGCTGCAGGTGCAGTCTACACCATACTGAAAATTACAGATGGTGGCAGCCATTTTACTAATTTTATTTGTTTAAATGTCAATATGAATGTTGCAATCAACTTGAAATAATATTTTCAAATTAATACATACAAATCTATATATTGAAGTGTCTGTTTGTAATATCAAAAAAATAGCCTTTTACTAAATACATATGACAGTATATACGGTATTTATAACAAAAAGACAAAAACAATTTTTAAAATATTTGTCTTACTGTCTGTTTTTCCGGCATATAGCTGGCACTGCCAGATAGCTGATGTTATAAGGAGTAACACAGGCTAATGTTATTTTAGATAAAATATAGGATTCCGCGCAAATAAATGAAAACCTATCAAATCCAATCGTAATAATTACCAAGCCGACAAGTTCCGGCAACAGCTATTATGTAACTATTATGTCATAATTTGTATTAACTTAATTTTACATGCATTGTAGTTTATAAAGAAAAATATATTTCGGTTTTAATTTTTATATCGATAGCAAATCGATAATTTTTGCTTTGCTTTGTGTGTCGTTAGTCGCCTTTTTTAAATATTTAACAATGTTCCATCTCTAGACACGCCAAAAGTGTAAGCTGTCACCCGCACCATGCTATAACGCAAACATGATAATATATATCTATTCTATACAAATAAATAAAATTGAAGTGTCTGTTTGTAATGTCAAAATAACAGCTTTTTACTAATTCCATATGAAATATATATATATATTATTTTGAGCTTTTCCATCAAGAAACTCTCAGTAGCTGCCCGGATTCAGGAAGCTGGCGGTGTCTCACCCCCGTTCCTCGGAAAGCACGTAAACCCGTTGGCCCTGCGCCTGATCTCTCTCCGGTCGTGTCGGCTTACCGTCCCATCGGATTATGAGAGCGAGGGAATAGAGAGTGCACCTGTGCTTGTGCAAAAACTTGAGCACTATAATCCTGTCCTGCGCCGATAGCTAGTCTCCGTTGAGGCTGGTCGTCGTGACCGAAATTCGTCTGGAGGGCATTATTATTATGAAAGTACGAGGGGAGGTCAAAAAGTTTCTCGGAATGGCGGGGTTGGCGAGGTTGAGTTTTACAAATAAATAAAATTTAAGTGTTTGTTTGTAATGTCAAAATAACAGCTTTTTACCAAATCCACATGAAAGTATATACGGTACTTATAACTAAAATACAATTTTTAAAATTTTTGTCCGTCTGTCTGTTTTTTTTATAGGATAAGGGTGACAAACGAGCACACAGTCCACCTGATGGTAAGTGGTTGCTGCGGCCCATAGACATCTACATCTATCCTCTATTACAAATCAAAATGTAGATGCTTTGTCACCCGTGAGGACTAAGATGGAATGCCTCATTTCCAGTAAAAAGGGCCTCCGGCCACCTGCACTCACCAAGCGAAACGCAGAGGTAAAGCTCTACTTCACGCTAGTTTTCTGTGAGGTCGTGGTACCACCCCGGTTCGAGCCGGCCCATCCGTGCGATAGCAAAAGCTGCCGCGTGGCTCTACCACTGTCTGTGTTTTGGTTCCGGCTAATCTCCGAAACGGTTGGACCGATTTTGACGGGACTTTCCCTGGCAGATAGCTGATGTTATAAGAAGCAACTTAGGCTACTTTTATTTTAGAAAAAGAATTAGGGTTCCGCGCAACTTAATTAAAACCCTAATTGTGTTTTTAAAAATTCGTGTTTTTGTTATAAGTATCGTAAATACTTTCATATGCATATAGTAAAAGCTGTTATTTTGACATTATAAACAGACACTTCAATTTTATTTATTTGTATAGATTATCTCAAATTAAACGTGATTTATTCGCAATATGGCAGGTTTGAAAGATGACCTTATCACAAAAATTGATAAGGGCGTGCTTCGGTGGTTTGGGCACGTTGAGCGAATGAGTGAAGACCGAATGGTGAAGAAAATATATAGCGCGAAAGTTAATATTAAAAGGTGTCGAGGTAGACCGAGACTAACTTTCGAAGACCATGTGAGCAAATTGCTCGAAGAGGGTAGGGTCAAGAGTACTCGGATACCTAGACGTGCATGTATGAAGAAGATAATGAATCTGAAAGAAGCGAAAGAGGTATGTAAGGATCGTGACACTTGGCGATCTGTTCTCTCTGGCTACCCCGTCAGGGATTGTGCGTGAAGATAAGTAAGTAAGTAAGTAAGTAAACGTGATTTATGGACAACAACGTGTTTACGTATGTTTGCGTGCGCAGTTAAAACAAAGCATTAGCACGCATTTGGAATTTAAAAGATAGAATGTTTAAGATTTTTTAAATTAATTTTTCTTTAACATTCACCTATATTACTTATTCTGAACCTTCTCTGCAAATTTGGCCATTTATTGCAAAATAAACCTGTATTATGGTTGTTGCACTAATGGATCGGGGTAGAACCACACTCACACAGAATACCAGCGTGAAATAGCAGCATACCCCCCCCTCAGAAATGGGAGGAGGCCTGTGCACAGCGATGGGATGCATAAGTTATGCAGACGACATGGTGCTGCTGAGTGCATCGGTCTGTGGCCTGAGGAAGCTGATACGGAAATGCGAGGAATATGCATGTGGTCACGGATTATTGTATAATGTCAGAAAGAGTCAATACATGATCTTTGAGGCCGCTGGTGCGAAATGTCCTGATAATGTACCTAAGATAAAATTGAATGGTGTACCCCTGGAAAGGGTTAAACAGTTTCAGTATCTGGGGCATTTACTCACCTTCGACCTAAGGGATCACGCTGATATGGACCGGGAACGGAGGGCGCTGTCTGTCAGAGCTAACATGATCGCCCGTAGGTTTGCGCGGTGTTCAAAGGAGGTCAAGGTTACACTCTTCCGAGCGTTCTGCACATCGCTCTACTCGTGCAGCTTATGGGCTAATTACAGTAGGAAGAGTTACAGCGTCCTCCGCGTCCAATACAATAATGCGTTTAGGGCGGTGATGGGGTTGCCTCGGTTTTGTAGCGCCTCTGGTATGTTTGCGGATGCGCGCACCGATTGCTTCAATGCCACCATGCGCAAGCGGGCCGCCTCCCTGGTGCGCAGAGTGCGGGCCAGCTCCAACACTGTCTTAGCGATGATCTCAGGAAGGTTAGACGGTTATATTATCCGGCATTGTTGCGAAAGGCATGTCGCAGACCAGCTGCCTCTGAGAAAGTATTGATTAATCTCGTCTCCTGTCTAATAAAAGTGTGTTCTTATAGTTTTTTTTTTTGTTAATTATGTATTAATTTTATTTTATCTGCTTAGATTATTCTATATACTGACATTAATGCTTATTGAAATTGACCGGATGTATTATTTTAAAATTGTTATCTTGTTGACATTGATTTATGTATTGTATTGCTTTAATTGTGTAGATTGATTTTAATTTAATTTATTGCAGCACAGTTGCCTCAGAGAAAGTTTTAATTATTGATCTCGTCTCCAGACTGATAAATGTGTGTAATTCTGTTATTTATTTATTAATTTTAATTTTATGTTATTTTATTTCATTATTTTATTTTTATACTGACATTACTGCCTATTTACATTGACTGGATTTATTATTTTAAAATTGTTATTTTGTATTGAAATTGATTTAATTATTGCTAAAATTTAGGAGACTGATTTTAAATTTATTGATTTTACTGGATATGGGTGTAATTTGCCTGAATAAAGATGATGATTATTATTATAAGAACTTTACTTTTCTTTAACAGAGTGCTGATGCACAAGCAGCTAGTAGCCGGCGGAGTAGACGCGACGCTGATCTTAGACGCGGCCGTCGGTTACATCATGGAGCAGGTGGACATCGTGATGCTCGGCGCTGAGGGAGTCACCGAGAGTGGCGGCATTATTAATAAGGTTATTATCTTCATCATCATCATTTACCATGTGCTCGGCGGCGAAGAAAACATCGTAAGGAAACCTTCATGTTTGAGAAATTAAAATAATATTTTCGAAGATGTATAGTTCGGTAACACGTATTGGGGCTGCACGGCAGATATTTCCTTACCCTAAAACCGTCTCACAAATCAGAAGAGGCCTGCGCCCAGCTGTGGGGCCTATATAGGCTGGAATTTTATTTCTTCATCATCATCATTACAGCCTATTATGTCCACAGCTAAACAGAGGCCTCCCCCACTCGAGGGATTCTAGCATAACTACCGTCCGTACCGGTCGGCAACCACTGGCATTATTTTCAGTTATCAGAAAGATGCTGCTATCTATCTTTTGTTTAATTTCCCTCTGTCGTCTCTTACGACGAACACGGGGCGACATGGGGTAGTGGATTCTTTCAGCAAACATGTAATATATTTACATATAAGCAAAAGAAAAACTTTTTTATTTTTATAGAATAAGGGTGACAAACGAGCACTCAGTTCACCTGATGGTAAGTAGATGCGTGATGTGGCCCATAGACATCTAGATTTATCCTCAATTAAGAATCAAAACGCAGTTGCGCTTTCACCCATGAGGACTGAAATGGAATGCCTCGTTTCCAGTAAAACGAGTCTCCGGTTTTCTACACTCACCATACGAAACACAGCAACATTAAGCTGCTATTTTACGCCCACCAATTCGTTCTGCAACCACAATATACCTGCAGCATTGCTCTACCACGTAAAAAGTATCCAAGTGGTATTAATAATAATAATTCACTGGAAAGCGGCAACTAATGCAATTTAACATTATATAAGTTACAATTTCGCACAAGTTCATATTTCTATTACGAAGTAAATAAAGTAAATAATATAAATTTTTGATACAGTGGCGATTACAGTAAACGATACCTTCCACAGGCAACAATATTTTAGATGTAGCTTTTTGCATATGTTTTGTTTGGTATTTATTCTCTATCTATCAGCGACTACGAGAACATTCTTAGAATTTCGTTGGCTCCTAGATGAGAGACCTTTTTTATATACCTTTCTTCAGTAGTAAACAAAATAACTACGCAGTAGTAGGCCCATGGCTGGTATGATAATGGTGTCGAGTACAGGAGACATTGAATTTACCTTGTCTATACATCACACTTCCCATAATATCTGATTATTATCGAAAGAGATAACATTTTGCGAAATTTTTATTTTCACATAATTACGCAAGTACCTATCAACAACTGATGGGGAAGAAATGTTCTCTTGACCGTGTTTGTGGCATTCTTTGGGGGAGGCCTATGATCAGCAGTGGATGATGTGATGCAGTCATAGGCTGTAGTAATAATGATGATGAAAACGCAAGTATTTATATCCGTCGCAAGCCAATAATCAGCTAGTTAATTGGACGGCTAACCATATTTATATTTATATAAATATAACGGGCCATATAAATGCCAGCATTCAGTTGTACACATTGTTAAAGAAAGAATAACTGACTCACTGAAATTACTTGAATTCCATTCGTAGACAATTTCGTGGTTTCTGTTGGTAAGACTTTCACAAAACTACATCGGTAAAGTTACAATATCAAGTAACGCCATCTTGTAAAATTACTGGTAGCGTTGCAGTGCAGTGGCAGAAAATGAAACTAAATTTTAACCCTTTCGCTGTCTCGTGTACTACATTTAGGTCATTGCTATTGTCAACTATTGTGATCTATTCGACTTCTAAGTGTGCCATTTACTTGAATTAATCTCCTAACAATACAATTAACTGACCGATTAAACTACCGGACTGCCACAATATCTAGTAAGTTACAATTATACATCTTAGTTAAAATTATTTTCAGATTGGTACATACAGTTTAGCGATGTCGGCATTAGAACTGAAGAAGCCCGTCCACGTGCTGACAGAAAGCTTCAAATTTTCGAGAATATATCCGCTCAACCAACAGGACTTGCCCAATGAATTTAAATACTTATCGAGTGTCTTGAAAAGTGGCAAGGATCTCTCGAAAGAACATCCGCTTGTTGATTACACACCACCTGCTTATATTACGCTACTTTTTACGGATCTAGGAATTCTTACCCCGTCAGCAGTGAGCGACGAACTAATAAAGTTGTATCTATAAGAGGAATTGTATTTAATAATAAATTTTATATAATGTTATCGATTTTTATTAAACTTGGAATGTGTAGTAAGGTCAATCGACGAATCCAACGTGTCTTGGTTGTGTTTAGGAAACTGCAACAAATTTTCTTGTCCGATATTCCTCAGACCCATAAGAACCCATATTTTTTATTGAATAAGGGTGACAAAGAAGCTCACAGTCTACCTAATGGTAAATGGGTGCTGTGGACATGCATGTGAACATCTATCTTTGATTAAGAATCAAATTGCAGATGCGTTGTCACCCCTGAGGACTAAGATGGAACGCCGCGTTTAAAAAAAGGTCTCACCATAAGATGCAATGCCTCATTTAAAAAAGGTCTCACCATACGAAACACATGAACATCAAGCTGCAATTTTACGCTGGTATTCTGTGGGAACGTGGTCCTCACCCGGTCGAGCCGACTCATTCATGCTTCAACTATAATATAGCTGCATCATGGTTCTACCACGTCTTAAATAGTTTTCTTTAAACAGTGGCCTTTCTCTGCTCGTATGAAGAAACACAGTCACTTAGCGTTCGACGGAAAGAGCTACTCTCGGAATTTCTCTGTGAGCCAGAATCCATAACGAGAACATTCGCAGCGGAACAAGGGTAACTGACATTCAGTAAACGGAAGTGGTAATGATTTCTTTGTGAGATAAAATCCGTAACGAGAACATCCGTAGAGGAACAAGGGTAACTGACAATCAGTAAGCTGAAGTGGTAATGATTTCTCTGTGAGAGAAAATCCGTAACGAGAACATCCGCAGAGGAACAAGGGTAACTGGCTCTCAGTAAGCTAAAGTGCAATGAATTCTCTGTGAGATAAAATCCGTAACGAGAACATCCGCAGAGGAACAAGGGTAACTGGCTCTCAGTAAGCTAAAGTGCAATGAATTCTCTGTGAGATAAAATCCGTAACGAGAACATCCGCAGAGGAACAAGGGTAACTGGCAATCAGTAAGCTGAAGTGGTAATGGACCAGTTATGCCTCCATCACACTGCTACTGCACTAGTAATGCATGTCCCTACGCAATACTTCGGTTGTGGCATTTTTGAAGATTTTCAACTATTAATTTGTCGTCAGTACTTCTTTCGTAAGTTAAGTAAAGCACTACATAGGCTAGTAAGGTTGACATTTGGATTATTATTACTGCTATTTCTCAGACCATTTTGTATCACTGAAGAAAATGTAGTGTATTTTCGCACTTTGCAATGAATTTTCTAATGTAGACATCACAAGTAGGGCATCGGAACCGGCTTTTCCCGGTTTTCAGAGGTCACGAAAAGAACCTGTTCCAAAAATTTAAAACCCGGTTGTTTCGGTTCCTTTACAAAATTTCAACTTTTTTATTTATAAAATTATAAAAAACGTGATTATTAATCATTTCTGCTATTTATGGTAAACAGTAGGATTTGTAGTGATATTTAATTTAATTTGGTAAAAATTTTCAAGGGTTCCCCCACTAAAAGTGACGAAATTTTTCAAAAGCACATCATAGCTGATTTCGGACAAGAATATTGTTTGGTTTTAGATGTAAATACACGCTGGAGCGGCATAGCCGCGATGTTAAGCCGTTTTCTAAAGTTAAAAACGATCATAAAAGCATTAATTGATTTTAAATCTGATATTGTAGATATTTACTGAGGACTGGACGAACATAGAAGAGTTAAATAAGATATTGGATGTTATTAAAATTATCGTAGAAGCTCTATCCCGTCGTGATGCAACATTGATTACAGCCGATGTTTCTTTAAAATTTGCTATAAGAAAATTAATTGAAATGAATACTCATCTTAGTAATAAAATGGTCACTGCATTGCGAAAACGATATAAAAAACATGCAAGCATCATTCGCATATTGCGATACTTAACCAACCCTGACAGTTATTTTGCCAGTATGGACAATCTTTTCCGGTCTACAAATGATGAAATAACGATGACAGAACCATTGTGATCCAAATCACATTTGCATATTTGTGAGTAAAATAAGGGAGTCGCCTTTAGACTTTTTGTAGAAAAACTAATACATTGTTAATGGTTAATCTTTTACAAAATGAACCCTGATATATTGGAATTAAATTAAAAACAAGTTTTATTTCACTTTTTATTTTAATCGTAGGAAAATGTTTGATTTACACAAAAAAAGAACACTTGGATCACTAGCAGAAACAAAATCTCTCAAATTACCGGGAGCAGGATTTCTTTTTTTAATTTAAATTTTTTTTCTTTAACATTTTCTTCGCCATTCCGATTTTCGTGATAGCGAGTTTAATTAACTCAATCATTCGATGGAATGTAGCAAGAAGGGGTCTCTGGCAGGCAAGTGTGAATTTATTCCGGTCGATTTCAGTCTTTTTCTCATAGTCTGTGATTACTGTAACCCATCGAACTTCTTGGAGCTTCGTACTTAACTCAGAAGAAGTTAAGGTCAGGTTTCTAAGCACGGTGATAATAGACTTAATACGATAAATAAGGCAGCCAAGGCAAAAATTTAAACGAAACCTAAATTTAAACTCAAATAATTCAAAAGTTGGGAAAAATCTTCGCAGTATGAAAGAACACAATATTACGCAATAATTACATAAAAATAAATGATTTTCGAAAAAAGAAACATTACAAGACTTTCCTTTTTTTATAGCATTTACTAATGTTTGTGGCCAGTAACAGTAACGATAGTAAACAATGGTAGAGCCACGTGGCAGCTTTTGCTGATGCCGGATGGGCCGGTTCGAAACGGCGGTGGTACCACGACCTCACAGAATAAAGTACCGGCGTGAGCTAGAAGTTTACTTCTGCGTTTCGCTTGGTGAGTGTCGGTGGCCGGAGACCCAATCCCCCCCCCCCCCCCCCTTATGTAAAATGGTACCGGAGTTAAATAAAATATAATAAAGCACCCCTGGTGTTGGAGAATCCCTCGCTAAGCATCCACGCCAAAGCCACCCTCCTCTAACTGAGCGTGGGTGCTCAGGCTACCCCACGTATTCTGTGGAGGAGGGGGGGGGGGGGGGCGAATTTCCACTTGCGATTAATACTGCTCGGGGCAAAAGGATACATCAGGCGACTTAATTCGAACCTTAACGCCATCCACTACCATCTGGAGACGGCTAAGCCGGCCTTGCTCTTTCTAACCGAGATACAAGTATGTCTCTTCTATCCGGGGTACAAATTAGAACACTCCTTTATGCCTCGTGCTGTGGTTTGCGTATACATCAGAGAGGACACCTGTTTTCGATGCCTCGGCAGTTTTGAAGGTACGAACCTGCCCATCCTATGGCTGCGCGTAGACAGCGCCGACCATCCCCGCAAAGTGCCTCTATAGGTCCCATAGCGGTAATGGCGACACAGACCGACTCATCGAACACGTCCAAATTGCTGCAGACTCCGTGTTACAACAGGTCCCATCCGCAGAGATCGTAATGCTCGGTGATTTTAACGCCCACCACGCTGAATGGCTTGGTTCTCGTTTAACCAATCATGCGGATAGATCTGTTTATAACTTTGCTTTAGCATATGCTCTGACACAACTGGTTACTTCACCTGCGCGGATCGCAGAGGAGGAGTTGTGTAGAACCTTTCCTGTTGCACCTTCTACCGACCTCTCAACCCGACGGATATCAGGTGTCCGTCGATACCCCTCTTGGCACCTTGGATCATTATCTAGACCGGAGTATGGTGCCACTTCCCCTCCCATCGCAATTGCGTTCTGCATGTTTGCCGCCGTGTTTGGCAATATTGGTCAGCCGATTGGGACAGGATACGGTTTTATATTATATTAGATTAGTTATATATTATAGATAAGATAGGTCGAATCTGTACTAAAACCGAATCAGAACGCCCCCACTCCACGTAATCTTGTCCGCCCTACCTCTAGAATGTTTTTGTAAAGTCGTAGGCGCGGAGGGACAGCACCGTGCGAGCCGTAGAGGCTGAGGATGAAGCCAAAGCTGCGGAGATGAGCATGGGTGCTTGTGATTTGCTACGCAAGGGCGAGGGGCTGCACACCCCGTAGCGCCGAAGCCGTTGCAGAAGTAACTATGTCAATATTCCCTACAACGCATATTTCAACAATTCGTTACGGTGAAAATTTTAGAGCAACTAATATTTAAACTTGGTATCTAATTAGCACCTAAAAAATAATTTGGGCTTTTTTTTTAAAAGCAATTTTAATTCTATTTTGATTTTCAGAAAACCTGAATTTTGCATCTGCTTTGTTCTGAATAACGAATTTATTTTTATTAGGGGCGCCTTGTCAGTGCCTATACTTGCAGCACCTAATTAGCACTTAATTCCTTGCTATTAATATTTATCATGTATCTAATAACTTAATTGCGTTGCTAGCGAGACATTTTGCTAGCAACGCAAATTTCAACAGTTCGTTGCGGTGAAAATTTTTAAGCACCTAATTTTTAAACTTGGCACCTAATTAGCACCTGAAAAGCCCCTAATTTTGGGTTTTTCTAGATGCAAATTCCTGATTTTGCGTTGCTGGCGATACATAACTACTTAAGTCCCTTCAAGAAAAGAGCCTACTCTTTTTTAAAAGGCTGGCAACGCATCTGCAATTCCCCTGGTGTTGCAGTTGTTTATGGGCGGCGGTAGTCACTTACCATCAGGTGAGCCGCGTGCTTGTTTGCTACCTCTGCTATAAAAAAGTAAGTACGTATGATAATTACAACAGAAGAAATTAAAAAAATTGCGTTCTTCTAAATTTGTCCATGAGTGTAGTTTTAAAATATAAAAAGATTACTATTAAAAACTTAATTTAATACGTTAAAAAGAATTATTAAACAAAGGTCGTTGTGATGACAAATTGACTATTTGGCCGCTTTTAAATAAATCTAGTTTTAGTACTATTTTAAGCTACTTTACAGTACTCATGGGAACGGGGAGACAGTGGTGTTAATGTCTTAATGTCATAGTTAACAACGGCTACCTTCATATTAAAATTATTAATTGCTTTGGCCGAAATTCGTTGAACACCTCAGTTCACCCTGTGACTCGAAATCTCGGG